GTCAGCCTCTCTGCTCCTATGATGCTGCTTGGCCTGCTGTGTTCATCCAGCCCTGCACCTTGTTGTCTCGAATATCTGGGTTTTATGTTTTTCAATCAAGAGTATTCTTTGGAGTACTTTACAGTAAAAGGATATCAAACTAACTTGTCCTGTTGTATGCACTTTGCATTTTCAAATGCGTTAAGTGCACAGCTGACTTCATCCTCTTGGAGAAGACTGGGTGAGAACAGTTTTTAGTGGATGTTTTAATGCACTTCTTTATCCTCCCTTTGGGGAGTAATGGTGAAGCAGTGGAAGGATCTGTGGGCTGATTATCAGCCTGTTAAAACTGGTCATGCGCACTACTTCTGTAGTGAATTTCTGTGGGACTTGAACCCCCAGAAACATGGATGTAACTTCTGCTGTACCAGACCACCTGCAGCTAACAGTGGTGAGAGGTGAAGAATGTAGTCGACTTAAGAGGACTATTTACTGGTATGTTTGGAGCAGGTTTGTCAAGTGTACTGTTCTAGGCATCACATTTCAGAATGATATTAATGCATTGGAGAGATTTCAGAAGCGGTTTACACAAATGGTTCCAGGGATGAGAAACTTTAGTTATGTGGATAGATTAGCGAAGAAGGCTAAGAGGAGATATGATAGAGATTTTCAAAATCTGGCTGCTTCTAAACTGCTCCTGCTTCTAAAAGGATCAAGAACAAGAGGGTATAGTTTTAAAGTGATCTGCAAAAGAAAAGCAAGGGTGAAGTGAGAAAAGACACTTTCACTCTGCAAGTAGTTAGGGTATGGAATGTGGTGGAGGCAGGTTCTATTGAAGCATTCAAGAGAGCATTGGATGTTTTATTTAGATTTAGTGCAGGGATATGGGGAGAAAGCAGAAGATTGACACTCTGAAATGATGATCACTTAAGCTGGTACAGGCATGATGGGCCAAATGGCAGCCACCTGCACTGTAACAGTTCTGTAATTCTATGAAGTCCAGTAAACTGCCATTTCGGGCATGAAAATTGTACTTGTTCAAAAACAGTCATCTAATTTTTTTGTGTTCATCCCAAATGGAAAAACTCCCCCATTTCCCCAGAATGGACTCGTTTCTGTACAGCACTCTCGCTTACCTTGTGTGATAAGTAGTGATTTGACCCAGACGCCAATTGAGTGTTCTCACTGGAGCTCTTTAATGTGTTTATGAAAGGGTCAGACAGGCTACCTGGTGCTCCAAATGCTACAGTGCCAGCAGCACACTTCACTGCTGTAAAATTCAGAGGCTTCAATTTTCCTTCCATTGTGGAGGAAGTCTCATGTGCTGTGTCAGTGAAGAACAGGCTGTTGTCATCTTTTCAACTTGCTGATTATAAAGAGTTTTAGTTCCATTTTTGGATACAATTGGTCAGCAGTAGAAGTGCACTTTAACTATTGCTAGAGCAGGATCTCCATCTGTTTTGTTAAAAAAGGAACTTGCAGCTTGGCTTACACTGTTTAAGGCATACTATGCCTGATATCAGCTGTGTTTGTTGAAAACCCTAGGCATCAAGCTGGGTGGTTCCCATTCAGACAAGATGCGCAGAATCGACGGCCAGCAAATCATCCCATGGAGTTCAATCAGGAAGGGCAAGAAGATAATGCCCTTGAAGTTCATGAAATGGTGAGTTTGAACTAGCTCCAAATGTCTCCCTCTCTGTCTTTGTGGTGACTGGAGTCTAAACATTTCTTGGAGTAATTTACAGTTGATCTAATTGATCAATTCACCATGAATTTGACTAAAAAACAAGAGAGTCAGTCATTCCAAACGGGAATGGTGATGGATAAGGAAAGAAACTCAGAAACATGAAGTACCTGAGGCAGGTGCACTGTTAGCTGAGTGTAACAATGGAAAATAAAATTAAACCTGCAAAGAAAAGGAAACAAGATTGGGATCAGAATAATACATCTATAAGCTTTATTGGACAATATTCCATAGTGTCTGTCATGTGGACCTTGAGTCATTGCCCTACCTTCAACTCTAATACGTTGATAAACTGAAAGTGCTCAGAGTAAATTTGGAATTGTGTAGGGTGCTGCTAAATGAAAGGTTCTCAATATGGAAATCAAAATGTCTTGGAAATCTAAACTCCTTCAGGCAAATGTTAATATTTAAATTCTTGGTTTGGGCTCTGAACCAAAGCAGAAAGAGAAACACCTTGGACTTCTTTGCTCTACATAATGCTGTTTTTTTTTTTTTAAAGAAATAAATATGCATTTACCAGGTAAAGCAGAGAAGCAATGATTGGGGCTGATCTCTGTCTTCATTGTGATCAATGTTTAAAGTAGGGAAAGAAAAATTTCAACAATACCTCCTAAAGGTGGCAGTGCACATTACTACTTGTGTCTAATAAATGTTTCATATATCCTATTAATCCTCATAAAGCTACTATTTTCGATGGATTTCTAACGGCAATTTTGCTCGGGGTGGTATAAATTATACACGTCAGTCCATTGAACACCCTAAGATGGGCCAGCACAGTGGTTAGCACTATCCTAACCCTATCGCACTGCTGCCTCCCAACACTAGGCACCTGGCTTTGATTCCACCCTCTGGCAACTGTCCGTGTGGAGTCTGCACATTCTCCCTGTGTCTGTATCGGTTTCCTCCGGGTGCTCCGGTTTCCCCCCTCAGTCCAAAGATGTGCACGTTAGGTGGATTGGCCATGCTAAGTTGCCCTGTAGTGGCCAGGGATGTGTAAGTTAGATGTGTTAACCCATGGGAAATATTGGGTGGGGATTGGATCTGTGTGTGATGCCCTTTTTGGAGGTTTGTTTGGCCGAATAGCCTATTTCTAAACTGTAGGGACTCTGTAGTGGTGTTGGTCAGCAGAGTTGAGACATAAACGAAGGTGGACTGATTATAATAGGCTCTTTTTTCTTTTAGGAGCGGTTAATGGATGAAGGTCTGGACGATGACAGTGGAGAAAGTGGTGAAAGTGGTGACAGTGGCGATGATACCACTGAAAGCACAACAGGGACAGAGCCACCAGGCTTCATGGCTTCTGCATGGTCATTCATCACCACTTTCTTTACCTCGCTCATCCCGGAAGGCCCTCCTCAAGTTGGCAACTAGGAAAAGCAGTAAACATTTCACCTGACTGCTCACTACAGCTGTATATTTGAGTGGCATTTACTAAAAAAAAAACGAAGACTGAAGTGTGGGAGTGTACTTAACCCTTTATTACGTTGCCATTGTCTCTGCAATTTTCCATGCTGTTAAGTCTTTCTCCTGATCATGGCATACATTTGAGTTTCACTGCTTTTATTGCACCCAAATTCTGGAGAGCACCAAATGGAAAATGTGCTTTCCTCGGTTTCATTTTCATTGCTTTACATTAGCAAAGATAAAATATAATAAAAGTTACCCGTCTTCCGTGGTTTTGTTGTAATTGCCACTAGCTGTGATTTTAATAACAACTGGGGGCTGGCAACAGAAAATACAAAGAGCTAAGTAAACGAGACTAGCCTCGTCTCAACCTGGAGAATTGAAGAATCCATTTACTTTAAAACTTCATTTTAATCAAAGCAACACTGCTAAAAGCAAGATCTCCTGTTTTTCTGACGTGCTGCAGTCAGACATCAAGTTAACGCTTTTTCTCTCGTGAGTGATTGATTTTTCAGCAGCTGATAGCCTAGTTTTCAATTTGAACAAACACTGCCACCTGGTGGAAAATACCCTCCACAAAAATTGAATTTGAACGGAGTACTTGGGTGCTAACCAGGTCCTGTCCTTCAGCCATGTGTCATTCTGGAGCATTCATGACATTGGTAATACTTCCAAGCAGTGGTTTGGGTTTGAAAGGCTGAGAACTGAAATAAATAGATTTACTTCCTATTTGTTATATACTTTTTAAACAACTTTTACATTTTAAAAACTCATTTTAGAATAATATATTTTACTGCCTTGACTTTATCAATGGCATTCAAAGCTCGGAGGCATAAATTTGAGGATCATTAGTCAGACTATTGCCAGTTTTCAATTGGAAATGACAATGTGACTCATTAAGTGGCATATGTTACTGATACAATAGAAGTGTAAGGGTGTAGACTTATAAATAGTGATCTGCCTGGGAACATTACCAGCCTGAACAGCAATAAATGCTATATATAAAGAAAGCAGCACTGTTTGGTACTTTACAGAAGAGAAGGACCAAATAAAGTCAGTGCCTGCAGCATGCTAACATATTTCACATTAAAATACTGTCACAATGTATTGCTGATTGTTAGAAAAAAAATAAAGCAAATAATGACTTATTTGAATAAGCATTGCCATAAATGTGTGTATTGAAAATGTGACATATCTGGACTAAGTGGAATACTGCATTGTAATAGGTTTTTATAAAAGTGATTTTCTGATGAAGGGTCTAGGCCCGAAACATCAGCCGTCCTGCTCCTATGATGCTGCTTGGCCTGCTGTGTTCATCCAGCTCTACACCTTGTTATCTCTTTTATAAAAGTGATTTGGGTTGTTTCTGCACCAAGGTCCCTTAATGAAAATGTAAGCATTTCCTCCTTGCACCCCATTTTGTGGGATATTGCACTTTGTGATATGGCGCACACAGGTCAGTCTGAACTTCTAATCTTACACCCACAATATCCTCTGAAAGAAAAATAGCTGTTAAGGTCCTTTCCCAGCTATTGCTCAGTCAACGTTCAGTTGTTTCCAGTTTCTATAATTGACAGGTGCAGTGGACAAAAAATTCCCATTCCGTTTTTTGTTATTGAAATGCACAAGGACAAAGTTCAGGCATTAATAGACAGACTTCATCTTTATTTTCTAAGTGATTCTAGTCAGTACCTTGCTGGATTCCTGTGTAATATTGTACTTATAAATAAATTTGACTTAATTTTAACTTGATGTACGGGTTTGGCATTGAGAATAGTGTCCATCCATATAGTTGCTGTTCTTAATTTTTGACTTTGTACCATGTTATTACATGAGTGCCTTTCATCCAGGTTTCAATTCATGGGAGATGAAATTCTGGTTGTTTTAAATCTACACTTCACAGTAAAATTTTTGGGAAAAGCTTGAAAATTTTATTTTATGTTACTTAACTTAAGCTTTGAAACACTTTGTGTCCTGAAATGGTCTTTGATATTAATGCCTTCTGTCACGGTGAAGGAGTTGTGCTTTTGTGCAATAATAGAACAACTTATTTTTCTTTCACAGGATGTGAGCATCACTGACTAGGCCAGAATATTGTCTGTCCCCAGCTGCCCTTGAGAAAGTGGTTGTGAGCTTCCACCTTGAACTGCTGCAGTCCACGTGTTCTGTGTACACCCAATGTTGCTCAGAAGAGTGTTCTAGGATTTTGATCAAGTGACACTGAAGGAACAGAGATATCAGCATGATGTGTGAATTGGCAAGGAGCTTACAGGTGGTGGTGTTGCCATGCATCTGTTGCCCTTGTCCTTCCAGGTGGTGGAGGTCACTGGTTTGGCAGATGTCGAAAGAATCTTCAATGAATTGCTGAGGTGTATCTTGTAAATTGCTGCCACTGTGTTGGTGGAGTAAGTGAATGTTTAAGATGGTGGATAGGGTGCCAATCGGCATTATTTTTCAGTATTTCATTGCAGAAGTGATTACACTTCAAAATTGTTTGTAAAGTATTAAGATGGCTGAGATTATGAAGCGGTTTGCATTTTATTTAGCAACTTATTTGATTTCAGGATGTCCTATAACACTTCATAGCCAGTGAGACACACCTTTTAGTAATAGCAGGAAAACAGCTGTCAATTTCTGCACGGTAAGCCCTCATATACCAATGAAATAAACCAACAGGTAATGTGTTTTAGGTATCATTCAAGGGATAATTATTTCTCAGACAACAAGGGAGAACTCCAATACACACCCCTGGAACACGTTTGCTAGATTTTGGTAGGGCAGGACGTATACACTTAATGGTTACATCCTGGGGAGTGTTGCTGAACAAATGGACCTTGGAGTGCAGGTTCGTACTTCCTTGAAAGTGGAGTTGCAGGTAGACCGGATAGTGAAGAAGGCATTTGGGACATTTGTCTTCATTGGTCAGAACATTGAGTATAGGAGTTGGGAGGTCATGCTGCGGCGGCACAGCACATTGGTTAGGGCTCTTTTCAAATACTTTTTCTATTCATTTGTGGGATGTGGGAGTCACTGGCTGGCCAGCATTTCTTGCCTATCCCTAGATGCCCTTGAGAAGGTCGTGGTGAGCTGCCTCCTTAAGGTGCTGCAGTCCTCCTGCTGTGGGTTGACCCACAGTGCCATTAGGGAGGGAATTCCAGGATTTTGACCCAGCGGCAGTGAAGGAACAACAATATATTTCCGAGTCAGGATGTGAGTGGCTTGGAGGGGAACTTGGAGTGGGTGGTGTTCCTATATGTCTGATGCCCTTGTCCTTCTAGATGGAAGTGTCGTGGGTTTGGAAGGTGCTGTCTGAGGATCTTGCAGATAGTATACACTGCTGCTTCTAAGTGTTGATGGTGGAGGGAGTATATGCTTATGGGGGTGGTGCCAATCAAGTGGGCTGCTTCGTCCTGGATGGTGTCAAGCTGCTTCTGTTGTTGGGGCTGCACTCATCCAGGCAAGTGGAGAGTATTCCATCACACTCCTGACTTGTGCCTTGTAGATGGTGGACAGGCTCTGGGGAGTCAGGAGGTGAGTTGTTTGCTGCAGTATTCCCAGCTTCTGGCCTGCTCTTGTAGCCAGTGTGTTTGTGGTGAGTCCAGTTGAGTTTCTGGTCTATGGTAACCCCCAGCATGTTGATAGTGGGGGATTTAGTGATGGTAACACCATTGAATATCAAGGGATGGTGGTTAGATTGTCTCTTATCAGTGATGGTCATAGCCTGGCATTTTGTGTGGTGCAAATGTCACTTGCAACTTGTTGCATTTGAACATGGACTGCTGCAGAATCTGAGGAGTAACAAATGGTGCTGAACATCGTGTAAACATTGGTGAACATCTGCACTTCTGACCTTATGATGGAGGGAAGATCATTGATGAAGCAGCTGAAGATGGTTGGGCCTAGGACACTACCCTGAGGAACTCCTGCAGAGATGTCCTGGAGCTGAGATGATTGACCTCCCACAACCACAGCCATCTTCCTGTGTGTCAGGTATGACTCCAATCACTGGAGCGTTTGCCCCCTGATACCCATTGATTCCAGTTTTGCTAGGGCTCCTTTGATGCCAAACTCGGTCAAATGCAGCCTTGATATCAAGGGCTGTCACTCTCGCCTCACCTCTGGAATTCAGCTCTTTTGTCCATGTTTGAACCAAGGCTGTAATGAGACAGGAGCTCAGTCAGTTCTAGTCTCCTTACTATAGGAAAGGCGTTGTGAAACTCAAAAGGGTTCAGAAAAGATTTACAAGGATGTTGCCAGGATTGGAGGGTTTGAGCTGAAGGGAGAGGCTGAATAGGCTGGGGCTAAACATTGGAGGTTAAGGGGTGACGTTATAGAAGTTTAAAAAATTATGCGGGGCATGAATAGGGTGAATAGTCAAGGTCTTTTTCCTAGGATAGGGGAGTCCAAAGCTAGAAGGCATAGGTTTAAGGTGGGCGGGGAAAGTGGGTGGTGCGTGTATGGAATGATCTGCCAGAGGAATTGGTGGAGACTGGTGCAATTACAACATTTAAAAGGCATCTGGATGGGTATATGAATTGGAAGGGTTTAGAGGGATGTGAGCCAAATGCTGGCAAATGGGACTAGATTAATTGAGGATATCTGGTCAGCATGGGCGAGTTGAACTGAAAGGTCTGTTTTCGTGCTGTGTATATCTATGACACTATCAGTCTCAACCCCTGAGAGCATGCAGCGTGTGAATTCAATGTTTCATCTAAAATATTGCAGCACCTCCTTAATGTATATGGGACCACCAAGAATGTACATTTTATTTAATCTTAAAATGCCTTAGAAAATTCCCAAATAAAATTTAGCAATGAGACAAATGTAGGGATATTTGGGCAGGTGGTCAAAAGTTTTATCTAAGAGGTAGGCTTTAAGGGGTATTTTTAAAAAAGGCGAGAGAGATGAATGATTTAGAGTTCAGGCAACTGATAATCCACAGTCACCAATAATTGAGCAATGAATATTGGGAATGTATAGAAAGCCATATTTGGAGGTTTCTGAAGCTGGCGGTGATTTTGCAGGGAAGGGTAAGGACCCAAAGTCATCCTTAAAATCAAGCCATGCAGTCCAGGAACCAATGAACACAGATGTGATGGGTGAATAGAGCATTGTGTGACATTGGATATAGGAGGCAAATGTTTGGTGCAAGGTTGGCCAAGAAAGGTGTGGAATAGTTGAGTCTTGAAGTAAGAAAGGTGATTATGATTTCAGCAGGCAGTAAACTGAAGCAGGGATAGAAGAAAACAAGTGAATGTTATTATACGCTACACTTTTTCTGGAGTGGAATTTGAACCAATGATGGTGCTACCAAGCTGTAGAATGTGCCTGTCTCAACTTGTCTTTAATGGAAATTGTTTACAGTTTTCCATTGCACGACTATTTTTTGACTATCTGACGCATGGTATTGGGTAAAGCTTTTTGACTCCTTAGTTCTTTCTTCAGACATTTGCATGATCCTTGAATGCAAATATGATGGACAGATATCCAGGTAACTTCTGATATGGTCCTGTCAGTGAATAGAATGTTAAGATCGTTAACAATATTCATGCTTATGCAATGAAATATTCGCAAGCAGCAAATCATTACCAGCAGAGGGCAGCATGACCACAAAATTTCTGACGATGCCACTGATTTTCATTTCAAGATGATGGAGTGCAAAAGACAAGGCTGAAGTATTTACATCTAATGTCAGCCAGAAGGGCTGAGTGATTGACCCATCTTGGCCTTCTCCTGAGATCCCCAGAATCGGAGGGGCCAGGCTTCAACCAGTTCAATTCACTCCATGTGACACCAAGCAATAATTGATGCCACTGAATACTGCAAAGGCTATGGGTCTTGACAACATTCCGGCAATAGTGCTGGAGATTTGTGCGTCAGAATTAGCTGTGCCCCTGCCTTAGCTGTTTCAATACAGCTTCACACCAATTCCCCACTTCCCTGCTGCAACTCATGGACAAAAATAATTAAAATAAAAGCAAAATAATGTGGTTGCTGAAAATCTGAAAAACAGAATGGTCAAGCAAAGGCAAAGTGCTGGAGAAACTCAGCAGAAATGCTAACATCGCTAGAGAGAACAAGATTTAATGTTTTTAAGTCAAGTGATCCTTCAAGGGGTCAAAACATTAACTGTTTTTCTTTCTCTCCATAGATGTTG